ACTATTAATTAGGTCTTTCCAATTTTCCGTGGAAAGACCTATTGCTTTTGTTCTGATTATTAGGTCTTTCCACTTTACCGTGGAAAGACCTATTGGTTTTCTTCTGATTATTATTATTTTTTTTCTTCCGCCTAATTTTTCTTCTTGCGTAGTTTTGTTGTTTCATTAGATGTCGCTTAGATATTTGGAATATGATATTGTATAGTTTATACGCTTTTAAAACTGACAACCGTGTAACCAAATACCTTACGTTGTAAGAGTTATCTCCCCAAACACTGTTTTTCTTGTGGCCACTACTCCTTCGCAACCGTAAAAGATTACGACAAATTTATTTTACCAAATTGCTCGTTATATCTTCAGGATGTTGAGTTTGGTTTTCACCGAAGTGTTCCGGAGACTCCATATGAGAGTTATTTACCCTTATGCATTTGATATAAGTGATATGCATTTCTAACTGGTAAACCATAAGTGATAGAGACCTAGGGTCTTTTGATTTGAGGTCCTTGGTCCAAAAAAAAGAAAATTTGGTCAAGGTCAAAGGTCATGGTCATATTCTGAATTTTGATTTTGGCTTATTTTCACTCCGTATAAGATATCACGACATATTATTACTAAATTGTTAGTTGCGACATGTCCTAACACATACATTTTGGTTAAAGGGTGCGCTAACATTAAATTAGAGTTTTCTTCCCTCTTGTATTTAAAAATACGCGTATGGTGATATAACTCATTAACCATATATAACTAAGACCTAGGGGTCTTTTGATTTCAGGTCCTTGGTTTATGACCTTGAAATTGAGCTCAAGGTCATAGGTAAATTTGACGTTCTAGATTTTGACCTTTGCTTTTACCTCATATGTATACATGATAAAGCCATGGGACTTTTTGCATTAGGTTGCAAGCCATTTGACCTTGAAAAATCCAACCGGAAGTGACCTTGTGTAAACCGGAAGTAGCTATTTTTTGTACTTATTTAATATAAAAGTATATAGAACCATATATTTTTGGAATCAGTGTCAAGTAAACATTCAAATTATACCGAAAGTAACATTTTTGAAACCGGAAGTAACAAATTATCTCCCTTATTAAAAAAAAAATGTATAGAAACCATATATTTTTGGAATCAGTGTACAATAAGCTATCATTTGACGCTGGAAATGACATTTTAAACCGAATTTTAATATTTTTATATCAAAATAGATCTTTCTGGGTGGAAAGACCTTCAATTGTTCTCTGAACAATTGGTTTTTAATTATTATTATTTTTTTTTTTTTCTTCGGCCTAATTTTTTTCTTGCGTAGTATTGTTGTTTCATAAGATGTCGCTTAGATATTTGGTATATGATATCGAACAGTTTATACGCTTTTGAAACTGACAACCGTTTAACTGAATACTTTACGTTGTAAGAGTTATCTCCCCAAACACTGTTTCTCTTGTGGCCACTACTCCTTCGCAACCGTAAAAGATTACGACAAATTTATTTTACCAAATTGCTCGCTAAATCTTCAGGATGTTGAGTTTGGTTTTCACCGAAGCGTTCTGGAGACTCCATATGAGAGTTATTTCCCCTTATGCATTTGATATAAGTAATATGCATTTCTAACTGGTAAACCATAAGTGATAGAGACCTAGGGACTTTTGATTTGAGGTCCTTGGTCCAAAAAAAAAAATTTGGTCAAGGTCAAAGGTCAAGGTCATATTCTAAATTTTGATTTTGGCTTATTTTCACTTCTTTTCAAAAACAGTATGAGTTATCGACAACATATTATTACTAAATTGATAGTTGCGACATGTAGTAACACATACATTTTGGTTTAGAGGGTGCGCTAACATTAAATTAGAGTTTTCTCCCCTCTTGTATTTAAAAATACGCGTATGGTGATATAACTCATTAACCATATATAACTAAGACCTAGGGTCTTTTGATTTGAGGTCCTTGGTTTATGACCTTGAAATTGAGCTCAAGGTCATAGGTAAATTTGACATTCTAGATTTTGACCTTTGCAAATTATCTCCCTTATTTAAAAAAAAATGTATAGAAACCATATATTTTTGGAATCAGCGTACAATAAGCTATCATTTGACGCTGGAAATGACATTTTACACCGAATTTTAATATTTTTATATCAAAATAGATCTTTATGGGTGGAAAGACCTTCAATTGTTCTCTGAACAATTGGTTTTTAATTATGATTTTAACCTTATTTTACATGATTTCCAAAGCATCAGTAAATACAGATGAGCGACACAGGCTCTTGAGAGCCTCTAGTTTACTTAACAGAAAACTTTCAGTTTTATTTGTGCAACACATGTTACGCATGTGTAAAAAGTTGACGGATGGATTTAGAAGGTTTAATCGTAGTAGAGTTTTCATATCTTGAAAGATTTGTGTTACAATTAAAGTCTTGTCATTGGGGAGATGTTAATTATTGAAACTAACAAGAAAGTAATATACAGTTTACGGGCCGATACAAGATCATTTTCTTGAAGATATTGGGAAATCGTAATTTTAATCCTTCAAACTTGCTTGTGGGCTTTTGAGGGCTGAATTTCTTTTCGAATAGATATTCTGACGGAGGTCTAATATTTTGTTTAACTATTATATTTCGAATAAGAGTTTTAGATAGCTGTCATTAAATTACCATACGAGAAGCCGGTCAAAGACACGTCAAAAGTGTAAAAGAAAGTTATTACATTTATCCGCTGTTGTAAGTATAGTACTCAATTTGTAAACGCTTACTGTACAATTTTTTTTATTATCACAATTTTGTGACACGGAGAAAAGATAAACCAATTTTTCATTTGTGCAATGTTAATTAACTGCATTACATTGTAAAACAAATATAATTCAAATCGTTTTATTTATGGACACTTCGTGGAACGTATTTTATGTTTAGGGGTAAAATATTGACATAAAATGTATACATCTGGAAATCATGTATATTTTGTATGCTGCTAGAGATCTAATTGGACTATGTATATTGTAGCCTTATATTGGATATTACGGAAGCGTATAGGTATCTTTTTTTGTTGTTGTTCCTATTGACTTGTTGCGTTATATCATACTTATCTATATATTTTATGTCGACCTGTGTGGCGATTCCACAATAAATTATGAAAAATATTGCGAAATATTGTGTTATATCAAAACAATGCGATATAAAAAATATTGACTTTAAGTAGATGTCGATATATTTATGTCGATATAAATTATAATCGAATTTAATTACTAGTATATCGATTAAAAATAATAATCAATTTATCAATTATATTTATCTCAATATTTTGAGAACAATATACCGCTATATGTTTCTTATATTACGATATATCGATATACTAGAAAATGGTTTGTTGCGTTGTTTCGACATATATCGATTTTAATATATAGAATGATTGACACCGGTGCGCTTTTTGAAAGGATACAAGTCAACTCGTACCTTCGGCAACTTGTACTCAACCAACCCGGTGTCAATCATTCTATATATTAAAATCGATATATGTATATGGATATGGTTGCTTCTTTGATGTCTTAATAGACAAAATGTTAGTATATATGTATATATCAGAAATCGTTTCATAAGCAGTAACCACATCAAAACGGTAGAAATGGTTTAAACTGAAAGGAATTCTTACCTTGTTTTTTTTCTACTTTCTCTCCGCTTCGTTGGTACCCAATTTCCGGTGGCGATGATACACCGTGGCAGTGATTCAGTTTTAAATTCTGATTTGTATCAACGACCTAACAGCATTAATCCATTTGGAAAGAAAATGTTCTCTCTAGCGTTTAACCCATTGCCTTGCATAATCATCGACTGAATCCATCAGTATTTTGAAGTTGTGTTCCCAGTTGATGGATTTAGGCTCACGATATTTCGGGCCTTTGGATAACACATTTCGCAGAGAAGTGTTATTGACAATGTTTAGGTTACTACCAGTAATAACGTGGTCAGCCGGAATATATATGAACGGGGAACTAGCACAGGTGCAATCAGGAGGTTTAGACTTAAAGTCGTCAATGTTGAGATCCTGCAACACGTGTTTGCAATTTTAGTTGCAATTGGTTTGGTATAGGTATAAGAAATGATAGGTACAGACATTTCTTATACCTTCTGCAGGAACGGAAAAAAAATGCCCATCAAAATCCAAAAAATATTTTATCTTCCTAAAACACAAAATGCATTTAACTTTTATATATCTAGTGGATGCCAGGCCTTAAAACTTTTCCAACTGCACAGGTTAGTCTGTACTCAGAGTAGTTTTTGAGGTCTAAACACAGCCATTTTGGTCCATTTGTTATGATGAACCTTAAAGACTAATTGTTTATAGTTTAACTATTTTATGTTACATTTTTCTTTCACAGTCCCTTATTCGTGACTTATTACATTGCGAAGCAATTCATACCATTTTGGAAACTGAATTAAACATGTTCAACACTTGTATTCCACTATCGTGCTAAAAAAGCTTCAACAATATGGCAGAAAACTACTTTCAGGTATTGGAATTTTTTCGTAAAACAAGATAAAAAAAAACATACGAAATTTTGTCCGAACATATAATGATAATTAAAACAAACATGCATCAATAGACTTCGGGTCCTCATCAGCTGCCTCATATAAACGGTCGATCAAAGACGGCACAATGATATAAGTATCACCAAATAGAGGAGGAATACTATGTTGATATTATTCTCTCGGAAATCGATGATAGACACAGAAAGTTGCGCATTTTTTAACAGTTCGAAAACTTACTGGAACTTACCCTGACTTGAATGAAAACTTTCTGAAAAAAACAACATTTTCCTGCCTTTCCAAAATATAGATATTTCTTTCCAACAAAAGTTAACTTGTTTCATCACAAAATGAAACGATTGTTTGGATTTTATACTAATAAAATATCTTATCTTATCTGATCTTATCAAATTGCAATTTTAATATGATCGATCCCTTAATAGATAACGCATACTACATAATGTAACAAGACAATTCATTTATATTTTTCAGATTATATGAAATAATGATTTAAGTTTAGCATCTATGGAAAATGAGATTTCATTTAAGGAAACTAGTGACTTACGTTTTGGCAGCTTTGGTTCTGTTTGTAGTTATCAATTTTTATGGTAATAATACTTGGATGTTTGAAAGTAATGAAGCACCATGGGGACCAAGTATGACAAAACGCATACCAAAGAAGCCGAGATATTCCGGGAAAATAGTGCATGACCATGTGATTCTTGACAAGAAAAACCATTCCGAAAGCGAATTCGCTAATGCATCTAAACTGGGGCTTGAATCTGGATTAAAAAGAGAAGAATCATTTGTCCTTGAAGACAAAGAAAAAAATCCTTTCGGAAAGAAAGTTTCGTATGATGGTGTTGAAGGTCGCGTGTGGTTCAGTGACGATTACTACGACGATGATCGAATTGTGGCTCAAATGCGTTATAAACCTCCGTACATTATCGAAGCAGAGAAAAAAAAAGTACAAGTGCCTTTAAAGACTATATTATTATATCATGGTTTTGGTGGTTGGGCTTTAAAAAAAGGTCAGAAAACATTTGAAGATCAACAGTGTCCCGTCCAACAATGTACAGTGACGGATGACCGTCGTTCTGCAGAAACTGCAGATGCTGTCATGTTTCATCATTCTCCAAGCAAACCATGGACTAAACGACCAATTGATCAGATATGGATATTATTTTTGTTAGAATCACCTTATCATACCCCTGGTCTTTCAGGCTTTAATAACGTATTTAACTGGACAGCAAGTTATAGACATGATTCTATAATAGTTGCACCTTATGAAAAAATGGTTCCACACGATCCGGATGTGATAACGAAAAAGCAAGATAAAAACTATGCAGTTGGAAAAACAAAAAAAGTGGCTTGGTTTGTTTCAAACTGCGGGGCTCGTAATGGACGCAGACAGTATGCAGACGAGCTAGGGAAATATATACAAGTCGATATTTATGGAGCATGTGGTCCTAATAAATGTCCTCGTCATAATGCAGAACATTGTTTTAATATGTTAGACAAAGATTATAAGTTTTATTTATCATTTGAAAACTCTAACTGTCGTGATTACATCACTGAAAAGTTTTTTGTCAACGGTTTATCGTAAGTATATTATCTTTATGCAATCGCTAGTCACACAATGAGTATAATACCCCCCCCCCCCCCCCCAAAAAAAAAAAAAAAAACAAAACAAAAAACAAAAACAAAAATGGTATATAAATGTTAGCACTGGTATTGTTGGTATTGTTTCTGTCAGTCTATTGTAACAGTGAAGCATGATTTTTGTATTGAAATAATCCCTCTATCGCAAAGGCGATAGAACCCAGAACACGTTACACAGCAAGCCATCGTTCAACTAATCGGCGCTTATATATATATATGTACTTCCCTAGCGCATCTGATGGAGGGCGTAATAAATAATAGGAAGTACAGCTGCACTGTTAACACTGTATTGTGTTCTGACAATGTATTACAAGCGATATTCAAATTCATAAGTCGGAGGAAAGTTTTTATTGTGGACATATATCCCTGATAAATCAAAACTGTATGATATCAAATACACGAACGCATGTAAACAATCGTTCATTTCCGAACATAAACATAACTTAACTTTACATTTTTGAAAACTTATCGTCTTGCATCCTGTCGATATTATGTACTCATATTTTGGCATTGCACAAGTTCATGCTTTTCTCAGATTGTTTATGACGTCTTCACAATAAATTTGTTGGATATATTAGTGTGGGAGAACATGATTTTTTTATTAGTTCTCATTGACTTTGAATTAGCTTTCAGTAACTGTGAGTACTCTTGGGTCTTTAGTTTTCTATGTTGTGTTTTGTGTACTATTGTTTGTCTGTTTGTCTTTTTTAACCATGGCGTTGTCAGTTTATTTTCGATGTATGAGTTTGAATGTCCCTCTGGTATCTTTTGTCACTCTTTTAGGTCGGTACTTTGTGTCTTTTGTGCGCTCACAAATTTATTCCACCCACCACATTCTATATGTGCTTGTCCCAAGTCAGGAGCCTGTAAATCAGGGTTTGTTGTTGGATGCTGTCTGTTTTATTTGTTTTTCGTTTATTCGGTTAAATTGTTTCATATTTTGTAATATCGGTCTTTTTATAGCTGACTATGCAGTATGCATGGGTTTTGATCATTTTTGAAGGCTGTACAGTGACCTATAGTTGCTTAAATTCACTTCATTTGGACTCCTCTGTTAGTTAGTTGTCTTATTATCAATCATACAATATCTCCTTATTTTATATAAACATCAGAACGGTGATTATGATTCACAATGAATGACGGTAAGCAAAATGATTAAATATATTTATGAAAAAAATACATCCCCCTAAAAAAACAATGAAAAATACACACACACGCACACACAAAGACCCATAAAACACACGAAGCATAAAAAAAGGAAAAGAGAAGGACGAGTTAAAAATTGATTTTAACAAAAGTACTTAAGCTTCATTTCAAACAAGTGTAGTTTACTATCATTTGCCACGGTCCAGTGGATTTTGTCCACCGTTTTTTTAACACTTTTTTTACACAAGTAAAGTGTTGGTTTTTACCACAAGTTAATTACAGAGTGGTCTTTAGTATGTGTTCATGAGTTACAATATATAGCCATAACGAATTTATCAGGGTTTGTTGTTGGATGCTGAATTTATATGTGTGCGAGATATTTCATAATGTGTTACAATATATAGCCATAACGAACTTATCTTGTACGGGATATTCCATAATGTGTTTTTTTTTATTTTTCAAGACATGACGTTGTTCCAATAGTAATGGGTGCACATCCCAATGATTACAAGCGAGCAGCACCACCACATTCTTTCATTCACATTGAAGATTTCGATTCACCTAAAGATCTCGCTGAATACCTTCATAAACTGGATAAAAATGACGATTTATATAACGAATATTTTCAATGGAAAGGTACAGCTGGCACAGTAAACACTTTCTATTGGTGTAGGATATGTTCTATGTTGCATGCAGCTCCAGATCATAAACCTATTTCGTACAGAGATATTAACCGTTGGTGGCGAGGCGAAGGCGTGTGTATAGGACAGAGCAAATGGAAAGATCAACCAGAAAGAAAACAAATAATAGATAATTATTTTGGAGATGTTTAAATTATCTTTTTCTTTCCTATACATAGGATACTCTGAAAAAATACATTTCTGTAGGGTTACATCAGAGATATAGTACCCTATATTTGTTTCTGGTTACATTCATTCAAAATTAAATATGTAGTTATGTTAAATTATTTTAATGAAAACAAAATGTGTAGATTTAGGTGAAAAGGTCTGGAAATCCAAGTTAGTGACACTTAACCAACATTCTTAATATTATTGGTTAGGATAGGCCTTTACATTAGGCTAGATAAGGTAACCTTAAACAAATATTTTTTTCGGCCTTATGTTGATATGAACATGTAAATTTATTGTTATTTAAAAGAGGGAGAGGTTCAGCACAGTATGTAGATCAATGATAAGTTCTTTTTTTGTTTTACATGAAAACAAAACCAATTGCCATTGATATGGAGGAGGAAATAAGATACATTTAGTCTAAGGGATTCCAAAAAACTTTCCTTTGTAAACTGTTTCCTGGCAGTCTTATCATTTGTAAGTTTGATAGTGTGTGTTTTTTAGGGGGGGGGGGGGGGGGGGGGGGTAGTTGGGGTGGCAGGGGGGATAATTGTAATAAATGTTGAATAATATTTAGTAAAACTAAAAAAAATATTTATATGTTTATAAATTTTTGTTGGTATGAGCTTCATAAGATACAACCTTGTTTCGGTGAAAACAATGTTAGGTTATTAATCACTAATTTTGAACATTTATTACAAAAATATAGGATTGAATAAGTATTAGAATTTCTCTCGTACATATATTCTTCCTCAAATTTAAATGAAAAAAAAATCTTGTATTGGAGAAAAAATTTATATAAGAAAACCTCCACAATTTTCCTTAACAAATAATTAAACACAATCTTACTGTTATTGACTTTAAATATGTGGAAATTATTATTTTTTGTTACTGCTGGTTTTAAAATAAAAACAAAATAAAGTATGCAAACGTATTTGTACATAACACTTTGTGCCACATGCAAAACCATTTTAGTACATGTAATTTACTAGGAACTCAATTACTTTTTTTTGTACCGGTTTCTGAACAATAGAACAAGTTTTGAATGATTGTTTACAAGAATACTCATTTTATGTTGCAATGAGAAATCCTAGGTTCAAAAGTTGAATTTTCATTATATTATTACTTGTTTGTTTGTTTGTTTGTTATGACTTTCTGATAAGAAGAGATTGTTATTTTATTTTCTATATTTTTTTGTGATTTAATAATGTTGACAAGAACTTGTTTATTTATTTTGTGTCTATTTTCTTTAATTTTTCTTTTGATCTTTCTGTGTGATAATTTTCAATATCAAGCTTTTTGATTAGATTCTAGCACAGAAATTATCTCTTGTTTTCAGAACCATAGATACTGTATAGATATTCATTTAAATTAATTACTTTGGCTGTGTTATGTCAGATTTAAACATTGCTGAGATCTTAGATGCTGTGGAGGGGATTTGCTACACAATTAAAAAAAATGAATAAAAAGAAAACCATGAAAAATGATCAGATGTGCAACAATTTAACAGATGATCTCAATAAGACCAGAGATCTGAATGATGAACCTAAAATTCTATATTAGTTGTTGAAATATTTTGTTTAGATGTGAAAATTCAGTAAATATAGATGTTACTGATTTTATATTTTAGAGAATACACCGTATCTTCATGTTAAACATTTTGCTTTCTATGAATGGACTTACAAATTTTTCACATCTTTGTCTTAATGGATAGTAGTCTCATTGGCAATCATATCACATCATCTCCTTATATTTATATTTTCTTTTGTAGTAAAACTTTATATCTTTTCAGATTTTTGTTGTATGCTTCCTTTGTGTTATTTTTCATCTTTCTGTAGTCAGAAATATTTATCAGATGTCCATTATTCCTATGTGATTGTTGTTTGTGTTGAATTCATAAGTTCAAATATTTTATTTTCATTTGGCTCACATAAACTATTTGAAAATTGGGAGGTTGAATATATAAGAAAGTCTTTTGCAAAATGTGTGATGGGGTATTTTTTAACCCGAATAATTCAGTCGTTATATTAATCTGCTCTACGATGGCTACATTAAAGCCTGAAGGCCTAGTCAATGAAAAATGTCTAATAATCATTCGGAATTAGCTCAGGATTTACCTATCTTGATAACATTTAGCTATAAGCTGATTGGCTCTCTCTCACAAAGAGCACCTATCAAAATTCTGGATTCCTGACACGTTTTTATCGTATAAAGAGTTCAGGCCCTCACGAGTGGGAAAGTCGATCATGGGAGAGTCGATCACGGTGAGGGACTGAATTATTCGGGTTAGGTATTTTTATACATTTACATGGTCATATTTCGTCTTGAATCAATAGTGCAATGTCTTAAACATTACTATTAACTGTGAGTTTAGAATTTTTGAGATGTTTTTATTGTTGCCAACATTGCACATGGATAGATTTCGCTAAAAATTAAAAACAAGGATTATTTGATAGTATTATTTGTATGCAGCATTGCCTGAGATCTTAAAATAATTAATCTCACACTCCATTGTCTAACAATTGTAATAATGAATGCACACACACATTTCTGAATATATGGTAGTTATTTTGGATGATCTTAGCATTGTTTTTGATATTTCATGTTCCTGTACACATTCCATATTAATTTATTTCTACTGTGTGTTTGATATTATACGTTATGAATTCCATCTGTAATCTTAATGAATGATTAGAGAAAATATTTTAAAATCATATATACAACCAAAGAAAAAACCAATTTGAAAGTGCATTCCATTTTACACATTTATATATATTATAGTTATATACTTTGTTGCCTATTTCTTTTATATTTATTCTTATATATTTGTTTAACCACTTTTTCATTTTCCATTTCTGCCATTTTTTTTTTGTTCAGCAGCATTTTAGTTGTTACTTTCATGTTAATTTTGTGTCACCTGTATTTTTTTAATAAAGGTACATTCCAGATTTATTTGTTGATATAGAAATATCTTGTTAAAGTTTATTCGTCTTAATTTGCATAAAATGTTTCCTTATTGTTTTGCATAAATCTCAAAATAACTTACATATGTTAATTTTGTGTCACATGTACTTTTTTGATAAAGGTACATTCCAGATTTATTGGTTGATATAGAAATATCTTCTTTAAAGTTTTTCTTCTTAATTTGCATAAAATGTTACCTTGTTGTTTTGCATAAATCTCAAAATCTCTTACATTTATGTTAATTTTAGTGTCGCATGTACTTTTTTGATAAAGGTACATTCCAGATTTATTGGTTGATATAGAAATATCTTGTTAAAGTTTTACTTCTTAATTTGCATAAAATGTTTCCTTGTTGTTTTGCATCAATCTTAAATTTAAACAACAGCAAAAATCACATCATGCATTTTTTTTCACAAATTAAACTTGACATAAAAAGAGCTAGATACTTTGGAGTGTATATTGACTTCTAGATGTCCTTTGGATTTTGTGTTGTTGTGTTACTGTCTCATTGACATAAACCTCAAATCTCCTTTTATTCATATTAAAGATAAGTAAACGTTTTTTTATCAAGTTAATATCATAATATTGGGTTTTATACGCCCGTCAAATTTTTTGGTATACAAATGTCCGGCGTCCGTCTGTTTGTCTTACACACTTCTTAGTTATATTAACCTTAAGATCTGTATACTTTTTGGTGATGATTCAAAATTCTATTTTTGAGTTATTGAGTATTTTGTAAAAAATGGGGGAGGGGTTTTTCACATGTCGCGCTGTATCTCAAAAACGATTTATGATTATTGCTTAAAATTTTACACACTTCTTAGTTATATTAATCTAAAGATCTGTATACTTTTTGGTTTTGATTCAAAATTTTAATTTTTGAGATATTGATTTTTTTTTTTTTTAAAGGGGGGTTTTCACATGTCGCACCGTATCTCAAAAACGATTTTTGATTATTGCTTAAAATTTTACACACTTCTTAGTTATATTAATCTAAAGATCTGTATACTTTTTGGTTTTGATTCAAAATTTTATTTTAGAGATATTGAGTTTTTTGTAAAAAAAAAAGTGGGGTTTTCGCATGTCACGCCGTATGTCAGAAACTATTTATGCTTATTGCATAAAAATTCACACACAAGACGAAGGGCGTATCATGCACTCATGGCGCAGCTGTTTATTACTTTCATTTTCATAAATTTTCATTCAAGATATTTATTTAATATATCAACATCAGAAATATATCTGTTGTACATTGCATCATTCAATGTCTTTACCAGTGAAATATACTGACTTTGTTTATTCCAAATTGTTTAATGGATTTTACTTTTATTAAATAAAACTATAAGAGCCTGAATTTTTTAAAGTCAAACAGTGTTATATTTGGAGCTACATAAACAAAGTGAAATGAAAGATGAAGGGCACTTTAGCAGGGGTTGTCTCAAAAGGGACAATTTTATCAGGTTTATAGATAAAACATTTAAATAATTGAATGAATTTATGTATTTGTGCTGGATTTATAGCATTTTTGGGTTGTAAAAAGTTTTTTCCAGTTAGTTAAAATGATTTTCATTGTATTGACAAGTATTTATTTTCCTTCAGAAAACAAAATTGCCTTCAGAAAACAAAATGCATAAAGATTTAAAGGGCAAAAGGGTGCACACAAAGGACAAAGGGGGTGGTCATCTTCTATTTTAGACTAGCTAGGACATTGTTAATTTGTTCTTGAACAGCATTAAAGTAAAAAAATTACAAGATTATTACATTTTCGACTGCTTACTTGCACAAGGACTTGTATATTTTATACAGACGAGATATCTGAATATAATGTCACACAGCATGAAAGAAGACAAAATTTATAATCACCATATTGAAAGTACTTCTTTATATTAAATTGAAAAGACATGCAGTTTATTGCAGAACCATAGTTTGTAATAAAAGCACCTTGTTCATTTACTTCATTATTAACATGAGGATATATTTTTCAAATGATTATTGTTATTGTGTGAATGTTTTAAATTGATAACGGGTTAATTTTCACTGTGTATAGGTGTAATTTGCAAAATTGAATCATGTTGGAATCTTTTGAGAGAGTTTGCATTCTCAATTTATCAATAACTTGTGCCTTTTTAATGAAAATAAACATATTTTTGTTGACTTTGTGTTTCTTAGCATAATGTATAATTCAGTTGTTGGAAAACCGGTAAATTACATGTTTAAGAATAAACGAAAATTGAATTTGTCGAAGCTTGAAAATTTAACCAGGAAGGTTGTATATATATATATAATAAAATTCCCATTTTATTGATGTAAAATAATCCAAGAGCAGAACTCTTAATGATGTGTACCGTAAAAACGAAGTCGGCAACCCTATAATTTTTTTACATCATAAAAACGGAAATTTATGTATCTATGACCGGACTGGATCGCATGTCAATAAGTGGGGGAACTAGCTGACATTCTGCGACCCAGTTCTGATCATATTATTTTGTAAGGGAACTAACTCTGAATAGTGATGGTAGAGCATAGGTAACGCATTGTCT